AAGTGGCCCTCAAGTAGCCCCCCTCAAGGGCCTCAGTGCAGCTCCTCTGGGCTCTAGTGATGGGGATGCTCCTCCCAGTGCCCCATGGCCCCTCTCCCCCTGGCTTGAAGAAGGGTCTCTTCTGCTCTGGTTGTGCCCTGAGTGCCTGTGCTGTGTGGCACCCGGAGTCTCGGGTCCTGACCCTGCCCCACTGCCAGGAGAGCTGGTGCATGTGGCCATGGACCCTTGAAGTGCTTGCCCATGCCTTCACCAGCCTGGTCCCCTTGGCCCCTCACTTTGAGCAGCATCACCCCTCTGTGCTTCCTCCTTGCTCTTCTGCTCCTGCACCCTGTGACGCCTTTCCCTTTCCCCTTTCTTCTCCTTTAACCAGGGTCTTCCTGGGCCGTCTTCATCTGTGGGTAGCGTTTCTACTTCTCTGTACCTCTCCTTTGCACTCTAAACCTTTGCTCTCCTGGGAACCTCGGTGTCTCGCCACCCTCTTCCATGCTGGCCAAGGTGAGGGTGATCCCAGGGTCAGGGATTGCCCTCCCTAAGCTGGCCGTGGCAGTGCACACCGGTTATCCCAGCACTCTGGAGACAGGAGGGTGATTGCTTTTTGAGGCCAGTCAGCCTTTTTGAACTACACAGCCAGGCTGTTTCAAAGAAAGAAGGAAGGAAGGAAGGAAGGAAGGAAGGAAGGAAGGAAGGAAGGAAGGAAGGAAGGAAAGGAGGAAGGAAGGAAGGAGGGAGGGAGGGAAGGAAGGAAGGAAAGGAAGGAAGGAAGGAAGGAAGGAAGAAAGAAAGAAAGAAAGAAAGAAAGAAAGAAAGAAAGAAAGAAAGAAAGAAAGAAAGAAAGAAAGAAAGAAAAAGAAAGAGAGAAAGAAATCACCCATATTTGTCTCTCCTGGGCTGTCAGCAGCGTGTGATTCTGGCGGCACCAGCCCAAAGGTGGAGCACTCAGCCTTTTGACTTCTCGCCTCTCTTTACCTGGCTCTGAGGTACCCTTCGCTCTTCTCCCCTCTCCCCTCTTACCCCTCTGGGTGCCCGCCTAGGGTTGGACCTTCTGGACCTGGGCCAGGCCCTCCTCCCTTCTGAGCTCCAGGCCTCTGTGCTCCTGGTTCAGTCACCGGCTTTACCCTCAGCACCCTCAGACTGTTCTCCCAGTCCTCACCTTTTCTGGTGCTCGGGAGGCATTCCCCACTGCCTCTCATCACCACATCATGTGTTTCAAATCCAGCTCATCTCCAGGGATCCAAGTAAGATTCTGTAACTGACTCTCTGCAGGGCACGGTGCTGTGCACCTGCCGCTCCTCAGGAGGCCGAGCCAGGAAAACTGCTTGAGCCCAAGAGATAAAAGCCAGGCTGGACAATCCAGCAAGATTCTCCATCTAAAAAACCAAATGACCCAGCTTCTTCCTGACTCTCACCCACCTTTGTGTTCCCTGCCCGGGACAGGGTGCTGTTTAGTCCCCAGGACAGCAATCCCCGACTCCGATGCTTACCTTGCGCTGCTCTGCCACATGCAGTGGTTTCCTTCACCCAGCCTCACGTGTCATTCATTGCGGAGGCAACGCCGGCTTGGAACTTGCAGTTACCCGCCCCATGGTCTCCCGAGTGCTGGGATGACCAGCGTGTGCCACCACAGTCTGCTACCTTTTGCTTCCCAAATGCCTGTGAAGCGTGTCCAGGTTTCTCTAGTCCACCACCTCCGTCCTAGCCCACACTCCACCCACCAGGCTTCTCCTAACTTCACCTGGCCATCTCCCCCTACCCACATTTCCTCTTCTATCCTCCTCACTGTGAAGCCAGAGCTGCACTTCACATTTGATCCTGGCCCCGTTCCCCTGCCATCCGCACCACCTTCCTTAGAAGGTTTTCGTGGTTGCCTGAAACTGGAGTCACAGCCGGTCCTCGGCATGGCTGGTGCCCTGCCCTTTATGGGTCTGGGGTATACCTGGCTGCCTGTCTCGTGCCTCACTCTCTTGACCTTCTTCGCTCCCTGTCCCTTTCTCCCCCCACCACGCCCAGGTGGTGGTGCTGAGCTCTCAGCAAGGAAACAGCTCAAAGAAACTGTTGGGAACGACCCTCTAGGTCATGGCTGTTCTTTCCTAGTTGTGTTTGATAATTCGATGGCTGTCTCTTGTCTTTGTCACTTTCCTCTTCACTGGGACCTGATACCTGACTCCACAGCTCAGGAGGAGAGATTATTCTGGCCCACAGTTTCTGCAGTTTCAGTTTATGGTCTATGCAGACACTGCATGGGGGAGGCCTTGGGGGAGAAGAGAGGGAGTAGAGGGCAGAGTGGAGCCAGGACAGAGGTTCTCCCTTCCAGGAATCACCCACAGCCACCGGCCTGCAGCCAGACACCATGCTTTCTTTTAGGTTCCAGAATGTTTTGAATTTTTATTAGTACCTGCTCACAGTAAATAATGATTATGTTAATCATGGAGCATGGGCTCACAAACATAGCACCTCTTAATTCTTTTCTATTCCTTCCTGTGTGCCCTCTCTTACCAGCACCACTGGGACCTTGTTAGTGGGTGGCTCCATCCATGGGCTGAGCACCCCATGCGCCTGTCACCTGCAGCAGGCTGGCCTCTGGGCACACAGGAATTTGGGGGAACATTTCAGATTCAAGCCATGGTGCTTCCCGACTCTAACTCCAGCTCCTGAAGGGTACAGACTCAATGTGTCCTTCCTTCCTATAGTCTGTCCCATGTTTGTAGTAGACCGTCCACTGTAGGTAATCAGATACTTGTTAAGTAAATGAGCCTTGATTATTTTACCATTTTCAGTTATTTATATTATGTGGCATTTTCTCCTCAATGTCAGGTTAGGCTTCACAATTTACTAGAAAGACACACACAAGACAGAAGAGCTGTCACACTCACAGCCGTTACACTGTAGGACACAGACCCAAGACAAGCACAGGGAGAAAATGCACAGGGTGAGGCCTGTGAGAAGTGACAGCCTCCAGAGTGGTCCTGTGGCGACACAACTCCCTGCAGAGTATCTCATGACACAAACAGAGCACCCCCCACAGGGCCGTTCATCCCCGCCGTGGTGCCCACCGTTCCCAGGCCACTGGTGTGGGCATCAGAGCCCCTGTCTGAGGGTGGCAGTGGCCACTGTCACCAGCTCTCAAAGGGAGTGGTCGTGTCTGATGGCACCTGTGTCAGGAGCCCCAGTGGAAGCTGCAGTGCTGACACTGCTGTGTCTGGGTGCCATACCCTGCACAGTCAAGTCAAGCCCTAGGTACCTGTTAGAGTATATGAGGAGCACAGCACAGTCCCCTCCACTCCAGCCCACAAGATGAACTCAGTCACCATCTCTCTCCCATTCTCCTTCTAGCCGCATACATCTTGCTCTTTCTCAAGTGCCCCCAAGGCCTCCCACCTTCATTCCTGGCCCTGGGTGTCCACAGTGTGAGACTCGGTATGCCTTCCTTGTCTTCATGCCTCCCCAGACCACTCCCATCCAGTCTATTTAATATTGCAAAACTGCCCCTGCCTGGGACTGGGGATTGAACCCAGGGCCTTGGCACTGAGCTAAACCCCCAGCCTCCCCACTCTCCTTTTTTGAGATAAGGTTTTGCTAAATCACCAAATTGCCTGGACTAGGCTCAAAGTCTCAACCTCCCCGACCAGGGGATTATAGGGGTGTACCACCATGCCTTGCTGTTGGTTTTATTTTTAAGCAAATAGAAGTATTAGCAGACAAACTATGGTGCTAAGACCCAGTCACCTCTTGAGGTTCTTAGGGTTAAGGACCGCGAGAGTGAGAAAATGAAGAAACAAAGCTGGGGTCAGGTGGAACCCTTATCCTCCTGATGGGAGGAAAGGCACTGCTCAAACACCACAGCACCTTTATTTATATACTGGAGGAAGTTGTCAATTTTAACAACACCCTCCACCCCCACTCAGCAACTTTTTGGACCTGGAACAGCTTGTCTAAGTGGCTTGTTTGGGCCCTCTGTTTTTTCAGGGCTCGCCTTGCTTTAGCCCCACACATGAGATCAATCTCCATTGAGTCAGCCTACACTGTGTCTTGTGAGTGGAAAGTTTGTAATCAATTGAGAGCAGCCAGAATATTATAGAAGAGGAGGCAACTAGATAAGATTTATAAGGAAGAGTTTAACACAGGTACGCAGGGAGTCACCACAAAGGAGGCTGTGGCAGTTCTCTGCAGACAAGGGTTGGGTGCTGTCTTACATAGGTTCTGACTGGGGAAGGGCTTTGGGGACTGTTATGAGCTAATTTACTCTGTGAAAGTGCAGGGGAATTGGGTGAATCTTTACACACATGGACTCTGGCAGACTTTAGGGAGGAGGAAGTCACAGGGGCTTCTGAGAAGAAGGAGCTAAGCACCATGATGATTCAGCATTGCACTACCACCACGATGTCTGGGAAAATCCCGGCCAGGCCCTATCAGTGAGTCCCATTTTGTGCGCTTGGGGTGATATCAGAACGGGGAGGTGAATGCTGTGTAACCTGTGTGAGACGGGTCAAACACTGAGTACTGGGATGTGGGCTCCCTACCCCTCTGTCTGAGGCTGCATCACCTGTGTTCTGCCCAGACAGTTGGTCTCATTTCTGCTGCAGGGTTGACAGGTCAGACCCCTTCTGGGCCCTGCCCTGTCCTGTCTAAGGTGACTCCAAAACGGAGCCACGGAGCTAATCTCATCTTCTGTCCTAAGAAAGAAACCGTGTGATCCCAGCGCAGCACACATGCCTGTGACCCTGGCAGGCCGCTGGCTGGAGCCCAGTCTGGGCAGTTTAGGGACGTAGACCCCGAATCAAAACAAAACAAACCTGGGGCATACTACCTCAAAAATAAAACCCAAATGTTTTTTGAAATCTCTCAATTTGCAAAAACAAGCAACCAAGCAAACTCCACATGTCTGAACTTACTATATTTGAGACCCCAAATTCAAGATGGTTATGGGTGAAGAAGCAATAAGGAGCTGGGGTTCCTGCGCCTCAAAGCGCGTTGGGTGCACCCTCGTGGACCGGGAGTCGCCAGGAAAAGCATCTTGCCCCCTTGTACGCATGTGCACACCTCTTCCCGAGCACTGCCTCCCTGAGTCCTGCCCTAGTCATCCTATTGGTCCAGCATCTTCCGGACTGTTCTGAGTGTTCTATTGGACAAGCCTGTCAGCAGCGTCAGAAATTGCAGCCAATGAGTATCTATCTGCAGCCATCAGCCCCGCCTCGTGACCAGGCTTGCCTGGTATAAAAGCGCCTGCCAGTGGGGTGGGGTTGTTCAGGTCCTTTCCCACAGAGCACTGTTTAGGAGTTGTTGCTTGCTGGGCGGAAGCTATGGACCGGAGCTCCCCCTCCCCCACTTCTGCTTCCGCTTCTTCTGTTTCCTCTTCCTCATCCTCTTCCTTGTGCCCGCCCTCACCCCTTCTCCAGAACTGCCCACAGGCAGAGCACCAAGCGCCTGGGTTCCCCGCCAGGTGAATATGCAGAGACTGGGAGGAAGGGGGTGTGAGTGTGGGGGTCGGGGTTAGGCTTGGGATTAGGGTTAGAGTTAGCTGGGGACCCTGACTCCCGCAGGAGGCCTTTCACCATCGAGGACTTTGACATCGGCTGCCCTCTGGGCAAGGGCAAGTTCGGTAGTGTGTACCTGGCACGGCTCAAGCAGAGCCATTTCATCGTGGCCCTGAAGGTCCTGTTCAAGTCCCAGGTGGAGAAGGAAGGCATGGAGCACCAGCTGCGCAGGGAGGTGGAGATCCAGGCGCACCTGCAGTAAGCGTCCTCCCCGTCCTCGCCAGGCCTGCTGACGCTGGCCCGGCACCCCGGCCTGCCCCTCTTCCGCCCTCCCTTGGTCCCAATTTGGGCTGATTTTACTGGGGTCCTGGCACTGCCGCTTGTGCAAGCAGGCACTGGGATAGTAGGGTGCATTGGGTTCAGGAGATGGCTGATCCTCCCCCACCCCTCCTCCAGTCACCCCAATATCTTGCGCCTGTACAACTACTTCCATGATGCCCGCCGGGTTTACCTGATTGTGGAGTACGCGCCGCGGGGGGAGCTGTACAAGGAGCTGCTCAGAAGCCGCACCCTGGATGAGCAGCGCACAGCCACGGTGAGGGGCCCGGCTTTGCTGTGGGCTGTGGGGCTCCGTGGGTCCTAGAGGGCGCTTTAAAACGCTCTTCTCTGGAGTCGTACCTGACAGCGCACCCTGTGATCCCAGCACTTGGGAAGCCAAAGCAGGAAGATTCCTGCAAGTTTGAAGCCAGCCTGCGCTGCTTAGTAATTGAAAGCCAGCCTAAACTACAGAGTGAAACGCTGTTTCACAAAAACAGCTAAAGAACCTGTATTATATAGTGATGCCTTCAGCTTCAGATTCAACCCAATTTAATGTGTGTAAAGTTGGATTCTTTAGTTGTAAGCAAGAGCATCTAACTCAGCTACCTTGTGCACAAAGCAAAAACAACATATACTGGAAGACTGGGGTGAGTTTACTGAGTAAATGGGTGGAACTGGCTCAGAAGAAGGCATCTAGAGAGTCATAGAATTCCCTGGAGAGGGAAGCATGGCAGGGCCATCTCCACAGCAGTGGCTGGTGGGCTGGCTGTCAGGATGAGTGAGGCAGCCACTGTGGAAATCAGAATGGAGACTCCTCAAAAACTGAATCTAGGAATGCCATTTGTTCCAGTGATTCCCCTTCCAGATCCTTTCCTGAAAAAGTTTTCCTTATATTACAGTAAAACATACATAACCCGTGTTTGTAGCAGCAGTTTTTTTTTCTGGTCTTTTTTTGAGATGGGTCTCGCTATGCATTTCAGGCTGGCCTTGAGCTCACTTTGTAGCCCAGGCTGGTCTTGAACTCGCGACAATCCCCCCACCTCAGCCTCCTGAGTGCTGGAATTACAGGCATGAGCCACCACGCCTGGCCTGTTTCAGTAGTTTTATAATAACTAATCAGAAGCAGCCTGTATGGTCATCAACAGATGAAAGAAAAAAAAACATGTATTTATATGCAATGGAGTACTACTCTGCCATAAAGAAGGATTAGCTTGAGTCATCTTTAGGCAAATAGATGCACCTTGAGGCCATAATGTGAAGTAAATTGAACACATGCTATAATGTTGCATGGATTCTCTTAAAGGAGAAACTCAAACTATAAATAGCAAAATAAAAGCTAATAGAAAGTAGAGAATAGAGTAAATGGTTCTCAAAGTGAAAAGGGACTGAGAGGTGGAGGGAGAGTGAAGGGAGGAGAAAGAAAGGAATGAGAAGGAATTAAAATGTCACCTGTGCACCAGCTCCATGCCAGGAATGTCAGTGTAGTCTGCTGCAGTGGTCTTGGTGTTGTCTCCTGCTCCCATGTCCTTCCCTGGGGCCCTGTTCTCTGGGAATCCTTTCACTGGCTCCAGGGTGGCGCTGGGTCTGACTGTTGGATGTGCTAGGCAGCATGGCCAATCTGTCCACTTCAGTGCCCATCCCATAAGGCCAGATGAAGCAAGGGAGCAGAGATCTCCCCCGAGTCACTGGCTCTACTGAAAAGGGTTCTTAGCAGCTGAGAAGCAGGACCCATGAGTGCACTACCTCACGTGGCAGGCTTTCCTTCACACAGATAGTAGAGGAGTTGGCGGATGCCCTGACCTACTGCCATGCCAAGAAGGTCATCCACAGGGACATCAAGCCGGAGAACCTGCTGCTCGGGTTCCAGGGCGAGGTGAAGATCGCAGACTTCGGCTGGTCTGTGCACACCCTGTCTCTGAGGTGGGTCAACTGGGGTGGGGCCACCAGGGCCCCTTTGCGTCCAGCCCACTTGTTAAGACCTAGCTACAAACCTGGGTTGTGTCTGCAGTGTACTGTGATTACATTCATCAAAGAAGCTGGTACATGTATACAGCCATTGTAACTCAGGTCATGTCCCCTCCTCCTGCCTGGCACCCCCACCTTGTGCTCCCCTCCCTATCTGCAAAAGATCTGTCACCTCGCTTCCTATTGTTTATCTTATTTTGCTCTTTATTTACACTTTGTATTTCTCATAGAAGAGAAGCCATGTGATACACAGCCCTTCGTGTCGGATTTATTTCACTTCACATTATTGTCTCAAGGTGCATCCATTTTCCTACAGATGACTCTTTTTTTTTTTTTTGGTACCAGGGATTGAACTCATGACCTTGAGCTTCCCAGACAAGTGCTTTCACTTCTGAGCTAAATCCCTGGCCCCTGAATGACTCCTTTGTCTCTCTCATTGGCTCTGAGTGCTGTCCCATTTCATATTAACGCCATATCTGCATTCGTATTAGAATGCTGTTCTTTTCAAACATATACACGTAAAATACATTTGCAGATTTAAAAGCTAGGCATGCTGGCACAGCCTTGTAATCTCAGCACTCTGGAGGCTGAGGCAGGAGGATTGTTATTCAGTTCAGGACCAGCCAGGGCTACATAGTGAGTTACACTGTGAATTCAAGGCCACCCTAAGCTACACAGTGAGACCCTGTCTCAAACAAAAAGTTACATATGTGTGTAGATTTAAAGAATATGGCCTAACCACTCTCTACTTTCTTATCTTCATTAATATATGATTTTACCAGTAAGATTCTGTGTATAAGTAAATCAAACTCTATAGTGCTGAAAGTATATTATTTCTGTGTGTGAAGGAACTGTGATTTGTTGTTCCCTCATGGCACTCTGTCATTTTGTCCTGGATTTTGTTAGTTTTCTTTTTTCGAGCCAGTGTCTCACTGTGTAGCCCCGGCCATCCTCAGTCTGAAACCCTCGTGCCTCAGCCTCTGTCTGGAGTTGCTGAATCCCAGGCTGGGCCACCTTGGCAAATCATAATGGATGCTGAGAATCTTTATGTGGAAACATTCTGGACAAGCTGAAAAGCCGCGTGGTGACCTTGACATTGTGGAGTTGGGCCCCATCCTTGCCCTCTCTGACTCGGGAGGGCAGGGACTCCCTCACCTTGGCCTCCCCAGGAGGAAGACCATGTGCGGGACTATGGACTACCTGCCCCCAGAGATCGTCATGGGAAGCACTTATGACGAGAAGGTGGACCTGTGGTGTGTTGGGGTGCTGTGCTACGAGCTGCTGGTGGGAAGCCCGCCCTTCGAGAGCCCCTCTCACAGCGAGACCTACAGGCGCATCCTCAAGGTCAGCGGCTACCGAGGGGCTGCAGGGCTGGGGTGCACTCGAGGACGCCAGTTCAGCCGCCCCCCCCACCCGAACGGGCAGCCCGAGCCACAGCGCCATTGACTGACCTCTTTTCTTCCCCGGCCTCCCAGGTGGACATGAGATTCCCCCTCTCGATGCCAGCAGGGGCCCAGGACCTGATCTCCAGGCTTCTGAGGTTCCAGCCCATGGAGCGGCTGCCCCTGAGCCAGGTGGCAGTGCACCCCTGGGTGAAAGCCCACTCCCGGAGGGTGCTGCCGCCCTGACCCAGGCTGCTCTGGCCCTAAGGGTGTTCAGAGCCCTGCTGCCACCTCACCTGGACTTTGTGTTTCTTTTAAGACAAGAGATGTTAATAAAAACAGAATCACTTAGCACAGTTTGTATGTCAGGACTATCACCAACAGGAAGGTTTGTCCTGGCCTCCAAAGTGCTTCTGTGATGCTCCCCTTCCAGATGTTCCCAGGGTTCCATGTGGTATTGCTCCCCATGCCACACTCTGCTCCTGCATCCATGTGAATAGTCAAGACTCCAGCTGCGAATGCTTCTGCCCAATAAGCCATCGTTCTCACCAGGGCTTCCCTTGGCTGAATCCCTTTCTTCAGTGTTTCCCTTCAGCACAGCGTCTGACATCGTGGAGTTGGGCCTTGTCCTTGCCCTCTCTCACTCGGGAAGGCAGGGACTCCCTTACCTCTGCCTCTCCAGGAGGAAGACCATGTGCGAGACTGTGGACTATCTGCCCCCAGAGATCATCAGGGAGATCTTCCAGTACCAGAGACTGAAGCCAGGCACTGTGCCCCCTCCTCAGCCCCCAACCCCTTTGGCTTTGAGTTGTGCCGAGTTACTCAGGCCTGCACCCTCCTGTCTCAGCCCCTGAGGAGTGCTGGAATCACAGGCCTACCATGATGCCTGGCTACCGTCTCCTCTTGGTTACACAAGCCCAGCAGTTACAGGGTTGGTTCCTGTGTCCAGACCAATAATATAAATAACTTAAACAAGGGCCTAGCATGTACAGGCCCTGGAATCAGTCTCCAGCACTGAAGACAAAGATTAGAGAAGGAAAATAATAGTAACAGATTAGCCACTGCACTCAGATGAACTACTTCCCCAACCCATCTGTGTTATACTTTGCAGGACGCTGGTTCATAGTTTTGGTTTGGTTTTTTTATTTTTTTGAGACAGGGTCTCGCTATATAGTGCAGGCTGGCTTTGAATTCACTGATGTTGCACAGGTTGAATTGGAGCTCACAGCAACCTTCCTGCCTCGGCCTCTATAGTTTTTAACCTACACCTTCAGTGCTTACATTTGTTTTGTAGCTTTATCCTACCCATTTTCTTGAGTTTGTTTCAACTAAACACTTGATAGTTCCTAACAAATTAAGTTACTCATAGATACAAATCCTGAAAATTACCTGACTGAAAAGGTAGATAAACTCTTCTGAATGGACAAATTTTGAGCAAGGGCATAGGGTCAGAAAAATCAGGCCTCAGCAGTGACTACCAGACTGCTTCCCGTTACTGTACCAAATACCTGCAGTCATCAGTTTAAGAGGGGAAAGGTTTAGCTGGGCACAGTGGTACAGAACCTTGAACTCTGCAACTAGCAGCAGAGGCCTGGGGCTCAGAAGTTGGGGCCTGGTAAATTTAGTGAGATAGGTCTCCAAAAATGTTTTTAAAAACTCAGATGCAGCTAAGTAGTGGAGCACTTGTCTAGCAGGGGTTGAGTTCCAGCAACTAAAGGGAAAGCTTTTCTTTGGCTCAGTTTCCGAGACTTCAGTCTGTGCCTATTTGGTCCTGTGTGGAGCAAAGTGGGAGAGAAAGAAAGGAGCAGGGCCTCACTATCCCTTTCAGGCATAGGCTGACAGTGACTGCAAGTCTCACCAACTCTGTTTTTAGGGGTTTTTTTTGACACAGGATCTTGCTGTATAGCTTGGGCCTGCCTCAAGCTCATGGATATCCTGCTTCAGCATCCATGATGAGCTGACGGCTGTGTGTCACCGTGCCTGGCTGACTCACCAATTCTTAAGACATCTACCACCTCCCGGCATCCCCAAGCCAGGACTTTTCAGAGCCACCTCGTGCTCAGATGATACCGGTTTAAATAACAAAAAGCCTCTGACGTGCAGGGTCCCAAAATGTGCCCGGTGCCTGGACAGCTTGTCTCACTTGCCCCGATTCCGGGTACTCTGGCCTCCCAAGACCCAGAGAGTATAGCACTTTAATACCTGTTTCACATCCCGACACAAAACCATCCAGCTGAACTCCGAGTGTCACCTCTCATGATGATTTCGCTGCATCTGTTCTGTACACAGCATCTGGAAGCTTAACTCCAGCCCCAGCCCTCCACTCTGTCAGCGTACTGCCGTGGTGTTTTTCTCTGCTTTTGAAATTAAATCTCATAAACCATTAAGCTAGAAGTACAGATATAACAAAGTAAGAAAAACTTTGAAAATTTGAGGCCATTTTCTGTAATGCCTGTTTCCATTTTCCTGAGTATATGTAGCGTCAGCTTACTAACGTCTGTTTCAGGGCTCAGCGGTTTAAGTGCCTTCCTGGCAAGTGCAAGGTTGTGAGTTCTATCCCCAGTTCCACAAAAGTAAAATAAAATATGTGTTTATTCCTGACACAAACAAGGCCGTGGGTTCAAGTCCAAGCACTGAAAAGTATCACTGCATGTTGTCTCACCTTCATAGTCATGGCAAGGAAAAAAGTCACAGAGAAGACTCTGCCTTAGTCACATAGTTCTCAAGAATTGTTAGACTTCCTTTGAGGTGTTGCTGGAATTTTGTGTTTGGTTGGTTGATTGATTTTTTAAAAAATCTATTTCAAAGGGAAATAAGATGATTTCAGAACACGTCAATTGGGGCAACAATGGTACAATACATTCACAACTCATTTACCAGAGAGCAAGACCTCTGCATTCAATTGTCTGGACAGGGCCAGGACGAATGTTTCTCTTCAGCGAACTTGGAGAAATCAGTAGTGTTGCAGAGCGTTGAAGCTGAATACATGTGCAGGGCTGTGGTGTGGCCCACGCATGGCTAAACTGAGAACAAGGCGATGCCTCGGGGGGCGGGGGGAGATAGGCCACAGCTGAGGTCACCTGGGGACTTTCTGCATAGTTTTCCTTAATTAGCATCATCTGTTGCTCTGAGGGGTCCTTGAACCCCTCTCAAGATCCTGCTCAGGTTTCCTCCATTGCCCACTCAACTCCTTGCTTGTTCTGATTAAATATGGGCTGCCCAGGGTCAGCTGGCCAGCAGAGTTACGAGCTCTGCTGAGGATTTCAGTCCTCCTGAAGCCCTAAAGGCCGTGCCACTTGTCTCATTCCTTTGAACCTTCGTCATGCTCCCACTGGGGGTTTGGGGATCTAGGCACTGACCCAAACACAGTAGTATAACTATCTGAACTATCTATACATGGTTTGTTGGGTTTTTAGACAGGATCTTGCTACACAGCAAGGTCCAGGTTAGCCTCAAGCTCATTATGTATCACAAGATGCCCTCGAACTTGCAGCCAGCCTCCTGCCTCAAAACTGGCTGGTACTAAGCTCTGTATGTACTGTGCTTGCCCTGTGCATACTAATCTATGGACAACTTTCTTCTTTACACCTTCAGGAATTATTTTACGACTTCTCCTTGGTGTACTGAATTCCGAGCACCACTGTTCTTGCACATATGGGCCATTATTAATTAAACTAGAAGTTACTTACTTTTAATAGTACTGTAACATCCTCATGCCCAGTCTGATAACCCAGGCAGCAAGTAGCTTGTGAATAGCGTTCCCACTAGTCACTGTTAAAGACAGCTCAGTTAGGGACAAATTAATACACAGTCAGAGAGGAACTGTACTTTCAAGGAAGTCAGTGGAAATCAAAGACATCAGAATTGTCTCCGGAGTGCATCTGAAGAAGGCCAGGCCTCCAGACAAAGTCTTAATGGTCTAATTTCCGTACTGCTCTATAGATGAGGAGAATCAGAGACCTTACTGTGACAACCAGGGTGACAACCCAGGCCATTAATCTAGATCTGCTTTGGCCATAACACCTGGACCCATTCCTTCTCAAAATGTTCTTTTTTTAGTTTAAAATTAGTTTAGTTTAAAATGCTTCCACCTCACTCCAGAAAGAATGGCTACTATCACAAATCAAGCAATAATAAATGCTGGAGGGGCTGTGGGGGAAAAGGAACCCTTCTCCATGGTTGGTGGGAGTGCAAACTGGGGCAACCACTGTGGAAATCAGTGTGGTGATTCTTCAGAAAACTAGGATTAGAGGTCCCATTCAACCCAGTATTCCTCTTTTGGGTATTTTCCCCAAGGAATTTACAACATCATACTACAGCGATATATGGGCGCCCATGTTTATAGCAGCACAATTTGTAATAGCCAGATCTTGGAAACAACCTAAGTGTCCATCAACTGAGGAATGGATAAAAAAGATATGGTATTTTTATACAACTCAACTATAAAGAAGAATAAACAGGAGACTTTTATAGATAAATGAGTGCAACTTGAGAACATACTCGTGAAATAAATAAGATTCACATGTATAAAAATGAGTTTATTATAAGCACCTGCCTGGCAAGCACAAGGTCATGAGTACCAAAAAAGGGGGGGGGAGTTATTAAATAATGTTCTCAGGAGACAGAATGACAACCTTTTAACTTGTCATTTTGTTTTTTAAAAAAGCTATGTTTCTTCATGCTTCATAATAAAGGTAATGTAAAAGAACAGTTATAAGCATTTTGCTGCCAGAATTCTGATAGTACAGCAGAGCACTATCATTTCTGCAATGCTGGAATACATTTTTTTACAAGTCCCTTCTGTGCTTCTCTTCTAAAAGCAATGAATAAAAACAGGAGAATGCCATAAAAAGTCATTTTTCATTCGTTCTGTAGTATGGGAGCCAGTATTTCCATTACCACATACTGCCATTTTCATTTTATCCACATTAATAAGTTGTCATCTCTCTGAGTTCACTACAGAGCCCACACCCTGTCGCAGAGTTGTGCATATTTAGGAAGCCACTGAAGCAGGCTCTGTCCTGACCCTCTCTCCTAGCCAGTGATGAATTGACAGCTGCATCAGACTGCGGTGGACTCAGAGCCTGAGTGCAGGGATCTGTGGAGACCGCGCTGGCTCAGCTAAGCTTTCCAGAGAACTGCTCCCCAAAGTGCCATTTCCCTGTAACTTGTAGGCCATGGCTCTGGAGGAAGCAGCCACTTCTTTTCAGGCTTTCTTGATCTCCTTTTCCTACTCACCTTCTCCCTGGCTGTGCTCACATGGGCCCTGCTGCCCGCTGGCGTGGTGTGGCGTAGTGGTAAGCAGCTGATGCTGGAGGGACTTTGCACCTCTTTCTTCTTTGCTGAGTGTATTCTTTCCGGATACCCGCACAGCTCCTTCCCTTCCTTGAGTCCTAGCCCACCTCTTCATCAGCCCTGTGAAAGCCACCAGATGTTCCTACTTAAGAGTCATGGATAAGCCAAGGTTAGTGGTGCCAGCCAAGAAACCCTGCTACCTGCCCTGCTTCCCTAGTGGCTCAGGATCATCTTAGCAGCTACGCTTGTAATCTTGTTGGCTGATTATAGTCGGACCTGCATTGTGTCCACATTCGCAGTGTAAATTACCCCTTGACGGTGGCCCACTTGCGGGAACCCCCTTGCCTCTCACGAGCTCTCTCTTGATAAACTTTTCCCACTCTTGCCCTCCTTGGTTCCTTGGAATTCCTTCTTTGATTTCAGGGGACACGAACTTGGCACATCTGCCATCTAGCGGGTTGGGAGTCATGGCTCCCCTAACTCATCTTGGAGGTCCTAGCAACCCAATTAGAGGAAAGAGTTTCCCTTGGTTTCTTAGTGACCTAAATATTTTGACTGGATTCAGAATTGTGATTCATTTAGGTATCCAAAAGTGTCATCCACTGTATACTGGTTGCTTAGGCCTTTTGTTGATTGGTTGAGCTGTGTTAAAAGCTGAGAGCAGGGCAGCCTGTGATATCTCTACATTTAGGCTTTTTGATGGGCCATTTTTATTTTTGCGACAGGGCCTCACATTTCTGTTTTGCATAGGCTGCATTTAGACCTCTACACCGTTGCTGAGTTTACTTGTATTCCTTCCTTGGCTGATTGGGCAGTTACGCCATGGCTGGTGGTCTTATTTTAAATGTCTGTTGGAACAACCTCTTGGATTTCTAGTTGCGTTACAGCTCGTGCTCTTGAGTGTGCCCAAGGTCAGGGACAGGACTTGGCAGTTCACCTCTGTTACGGATGGTCGCTGTCCTTGTCAGTAAGCAGTGCTGTGCTTCTCTAGACCACATAATTTCCATCCCTCGGTTAGAAGTGAATCAGAGTTTGTGCTCATCCAGGAAGGCACCCATGATGGTTTCGGTCAACCCAGTGCCTGGGCGGGGTTTTCTCCCTTCACCAGCAGGACGGGCAGGAGAAGCAGCCATCCTGAGTCACAGGGAGGGAACTGAACTCTGGGGACACCAAGTGGAGTTGTCCAACAAGCACACATACCTACAAGCCCTAAGCAATAAAGTTGAAATGCTTCCATTCTGCCCTCCAATTTTTTCCTTCTTTTTCTAACAAAGTTAGAAAGCAGTTATCCAAGGCTGATGTAAGTTTCCCTGGCAGTGCCTCCCTTCCTACACTGGGCGCTACAGCCAGAATCAGCTATAGCTTGTGCTTTTGGAAGCTCCCTCTGGCGCTGGGAATGTGAGTGTTCAGAGGAAGCATGT